AAAAAAAAAAAAAAAAAAAAAAAGGGCTCCAAGTTACAAATAAACAAATGAACTTCATAATCTCAAGCATACTATCTGTAGCTGATAACTCCAAAAGATACAAAACTTTCCATCTTAAATCACTTGACACACCTCTGATTACCAAAATCAGAAGTTCTTGTTTTATCATGTAATCAATTATTCTCATTTTAATGTGACTTTCCCATGATGATTGAGGTCTGAAATTTGAATGCACTGTTTCTGAGGTATTTAATGTTATAATCAAAGAATTTATTAAATACCTGTGTACCATGTTCCACACAATGTGCATTGGTTAAAAGCTTCCTATCCCCAATCATAAAAGCACTGCATAAGGACAAACAGAAATATTAAGAACAGCATTGAAAAGAAAAAAAGAAGAGAGAGATGAGCTTTTGAGACATAATATATGACATCAACAAATGAAGGGCAGAATAACGGAAAAAAAGAGGGGGTGGGGAATAAATCACTAGATTTCAGGAAGAAAAAATGAAAGGAACAAGCAGAGATATTTTTCTTTATCTGCTTTTCCTTCAAAGCCCTTCAAATGCTTTGAGGAGGACAGGTTTCCAAACTCACCTTCCAGTGCTTGTATATTGCCTTTGCCTTTGCCAAGGAAGAGAATAATCAGGTTCAGTATGAGTGCAGTAAACCTAGATAGATATCAAAGAAAAAAAATATATTGTTAACATGAAGAAAAAAATGATAAGGAGTGATGCAAAATTGCAAACCATGCTAGGAACAAGGCTTCAAATTCCTCTGTTGTCATTTCAGTAAAAACAATTTCAGCAGGTGACACCCGCCACTCTTAGGTGGAGACTTGTCCAGTGTTGGGGACTAATCAGGCCAAAGGTCCAGAACTCCAGATATCCATTACTAACTAGAAAATTAAATAAATTGGAATTTTAAAATGTAATGCAAGAATAAGGTGAAATTCTTTTACCTTAACAACAGCATTAAGGAAAGCAGCATCCTGAAGATCTCCTGGTTCAACCTGAAATCAAAGGGTTAATAAAGAAAGCTATGATTAAAAATACGTAAGATAAATGTGCTAAGAGTTCTTGTTAAGAGTCCTATAAAATACACTTAGCAGAGATTTTGGGCAACCAAAATTATCATGTCATTCCTCACCCAGAAAAATCTCCCAAAATTACTTTGAAAATTTTATGAAATACAGCAATTTGTAAGAGCTAAATGCAATGGATAAGACGTGCAGAGACAGTGGAATAGTGTGCTTGAGAGTGCTACCTGCTGCTCTCTTGAATCAAACTGAAACTCCTTCTTCTCTTTTCTTTGCGTCCCAAATGATTTAAACGCTGTACCACTGATTCCATCATCCTTTGATCTTCTTCGAGATTTCTTATAGCATGCAGAATCTTTCTGAAATTCAAAAAAAAAAAAAAAATTTAAATACAAATACATTAACTAAGACACTACAGCTTCACTGAGGTAGGAATGAGAACCAGATCGAAAACCAGAATTACCTCAGAATCTGATTTACAATGGGAAGACGATGAACCTCTCTTAAAATTGCATTTAGGATTCATAGATTTACGAGCTACGACGCCAATGGATGACGGCCGGGAAGCGAGCCTTGACTGACAACAGGAGGAGGAGGAGCCATGGAGTTTGAAGGTGGAGGTGAAGACGGAGAAACTGCAACTAGTGACTGCTACCGCCATGACAACAAAAAAAAAGGGCGGGCGCTGGCGCTGCCGCAGCTAAAAGATTGGTGTTTTGGTTTTCTTAGTTTTCGCTCTTATCCTATTAGTCTATCCGTAAAATTGATTTCGGAAAATGAAAAAAAAAAAAAAAAA